GGGTGTGTGGGATTGTTTGCGGGAGGTTGAGCGGAGGCTGCCGTCTTGTCGTCCGCAGCACCTGTAGTCTGGGGCGCTGTCCCGGTAGCCCAGTGAGCTCGTCGCTGCGCCAGTCGCCTGTGGGTCCGTAGCTCCAGCCGCTCGTCTTAGCCGCGGAGCCAGTTACTCCTGTAGTCCGGGGCGCTGTCCCGGTAGCCACTGTGCTCGCCACTCCTGTTGCCCGTGTGTCTGCAGCTTCAGCCGCCGCCTCCTATCTCCTCTCCTCTCACTGTCCCTCCTCCTCCTCACTTGCCCGCTATGTTAGCCTCTAGCTTTACTTATATTTCTGAACTACTTCTATGCTTGCTTGCTGTGCTGATTACACCCCACTTTGGCTAGGGGGGTGTGTCAGAATGTTATTGTTCTCTAGCCTGCAGTGGGGTACTCTATAGCGAGTACAACCCCTTAGGGTTTCCTATATGTATCCTGCTGCTTTCTAGTGAACCCCCTCCTTTTTCTTCTAAACTTTCTTGCCTAGCTAGGGTTCTCCTAGCTATGGCGCCTCATTCCTCGCCTCTATCTCAACAGTCTCTACCAGAAATTGATGCGCGATTGGTGGACGGAACACCGCTGGCGATCAAGGACGAGGTCCGACAAATTCGGATGAAGTGTGGCGACGATTTCGGGTTCTCCATGCGAATGCTGGCGACAACGCTGGACGGTTGCGATGTGCTGCTCGGAAGGGATTGGCTGCAGCGTTTTAATCCGACCATCGACTGGACGACGGGAGCGATCACGGTGCTGTGCAACAAGGGGCGCGTGACACTTCCGAAATGGGCGGAGCCGGAGCCGACGACAACACGTTTCAACGCGATAACGTTGAAGAGGGTGATAAAACGGGGAGCGCAAGGCTACGCCGTACAGCTGTACGAGGTGGTGGCTTCCAAAAAAATCGCCGACATCGACACGCTCTGCGGTGCTGTACCCAACGACGTGGCGAGCATAATTCGGAGGTACCCCGAAATATTCGCGGATGACCTACCTGATGGGCTGCCACCTCAGCGTCCGGAAGACCACAGGATCGAGCTGGAGCCAGGCGCGAAACCAACCGTTCGGTCCCAATGGCGGCTCAGCCAACCGGAGCTCGACGAATTGCAGAAACAGCTGGATTATCTGCTTTCTAAGGGTTTTATCCGGCCGAGCACGTCGCCGTACGCCGCCCCGATACTATTCACACCGAAGAAGGACGGAGGCCTGCGCATGTGCATCGACTATCGAGCGTTGAATCGGGTCACAATCAAGTCGCGTTACCCGATCCCACGAACAGACGACCTGCTGGATCAACTTCGCGGGGCTCGTTTTTTCTCGAAAATCGATCTGCGATGTGGCTACCATCAAATTCGTGTGTTCGCCGACGACTGCCCGAAGACCACATTCCGCACCCGCTACGGCAGTTATGAGTACACCGTGATGCCGTTCGGGCTGACGAACGCACCCTCGACTTTCCAACTCACTATGAATGGGGTGTTTCGCGACATTTTGGATAAAAAAGTTATTGTTTACCTGGACGACATCCTGGTGTACAGCAGGACACGGGAGCAGCATTTACAGGACTTGGACGAAGTGTTCCGTCGCTTGCAGCAGAACCGGCTGATTACGAGGGGCTCTAAGTGCGAGTTCTTACGGTCGGAGCTGGAGTTTCTGGGGCACGTCGTCTCTGGGGAAGGCATTAAAATCGACCCTCGCAAAATAAAAGCGATTTCGGAGTGGAAGCCGCCCACGAACATCACTGAGTTGCAGAGTTTCCTCGGCTTCGTTAACTGTCAGAATTCCAGCCACTAACCACTGGGATAAAAGGGCTTGTTTGTGTAGCGGGTAAGTGCGCCCATAACCCCCCAGGCCAACGTGCCTGTAACCCTTCCCTAGGATCAATCGGGGATCACCAGTGGACCTCTGACACCCCCCCGCACTGGGATGCCCGAAGTGCACACGCTGGGATTCGAACCCGAGACCTTCGCTCTGATAACATGTCAGAATTCCAACCACTAGACCATTGGGATAAAAGGGCTTGTTTGTGTAGCGGGTAAGTGCGCCCATAACCCCCCAGGCCAACGTGCCTGTAACCCTTCCCTAGGATCAATCGGGGATCACCAGTGGACCTCTGACATTAACTACGTCCGCCGTTTTGTACCCAATATGGCGGGGGTAACCAGGCCGTTAACCGATCTCCTGCATAAGGGCGTGCAGTTTCTTTGGGGGGAGAGAGAACAGCTGGCTTTCAACGAGCTGAAGAAAATTTTGAGTTCACCCCCGGTGCTTCGACTGGCAGATCCATCTCGACCGTTCGAAGTCGTGACGGACGCCAGCGATTTCGCTGTCGGCGCTGTGCTATTACAGGACTTCGGCAACGGACTGCAACCCATCGCGTACGAGTCAAGAAAAATGCAGCCGCCCGAGCGCAACTACCCGGTTCACGACAAGGAAATGCTCGCCATCGTGCATGCGTTTCGAACATGGCGATGCTACCTCACGGGAGCGGATGTCACAATCCGAACTGACCACAAGTCATTACAGTACATGCGCAGCCAACCACAGCTCAACCCACGACAAATCCGGTGGCTCGACTACCTCGAATCAAATTTCCGCTACACCATCACATATAAAAAGGGCGCCAACAACATCGCCGACGCCCTGACCCGCCCATCCATGCAGACCGCAGCAGTACTAATCGCCCATTCCAACCCTTTATTGACGGGATTATTCAAGCACGGCTACAGGATCGACAGATTTTTCAGGACCAGTCAACACCGCGGGGTCACTACACCGCATGGAAGTTACTACCTAAAAGTCGGTACTAACCGAGTTTGGGTGCCTTCCTACCGACCCTTACGCGAATTACTGACGCAAGAAGTACACGACTCCAACCTCTCCGGGCATTTCGGCGTCGACAAAACATTGAAGCTGCTGCAGCGGAACTACTACTGGCCCGACATGGCGTCGGACGTGCAGCGCTATGTGTCCGCCTGCCCGACCTGCCAGGCAATGAAGTTGTCACGACAACGACCAGCTGGCTTACTGCAGCCCCTCGAGCCACCCGAACGACCGTGGCAACAGGTGACTATGGACTTCGTCACGGGCCTTCCAGCTGGCGCAAGTGGCAACGACTCCGTGCTCGTCGTCGTTGATCGCTTAACGAAAATGGCGCATTTCGCGCCCTGCCGTACAACGATCACAGCCGAAGAAACAGCGCGACTCTTCATCTCGACCGTCGTACGCCTCCACGGGTTACCTTCGGCGATCATCAGCGATCGAGATCCGAAATTCACGTCGAAATTTTGGCAGGAGACATGGGCATAGTACGGCACCCGCCTGCAATTTTCGTCGTCCTACCACCCGCAAACCGACGGACAGACAGAGAGGACAAACCAAACGATGGAGCAGCTGATTCGCACGAAATGCCCGGATATCACCAAGTGGGAAGATTCCCTTCCCATGCTCGAGTTTGCGTACAATAACGCTCCATCTGCAACGACCAAGCAATCACCCTTCTACCTGAATTACGGGATAGACCCGGTGGTACCCTCCTCGACAACTCCCGACAACCCGGTACCCAGGTCACAGCAGTTTATTTCGGAACTCCAGGACGCGCGTGCCAAGGCAGCTGATTTTATCCAAAAAGCGAATGCGACCGCCAGCCGCTACGCTGACCAACATCGACGAAATTCACCCTTCCGCGAGGGGCAGATGGTTCTCCTGGACACCAAAAACCTCAGACTGCCCCAGCCCGCAAAACTGCGTCCTCGATACGTGGGACCTTTCCGCATCATTCGAATGCTGACACCGGTCACTGCGAAGCTTCTCCTCCCGGACGACTGGCATATCCACGACGCTTTCCACGTCAGTTTACTTCGCCACTACGTGGCACCCCAGTCCTCCGACGTCGCTCGACCCCACCAGGCGCCCAGTGTCCGACCGGTAGCAGATCCCACGCTCCAACCCTGGAAGATATTGAACCATCGCATTCGTGCGACCCCAGCCGGCTGCCACGTCGATTTTCTACTACGTTGGGTGGATCGCACAAGTGACGACGACACGTGGGTCCCGGCTGACTCACTACAAGGGCACTCGGTACTCCGGCAGTATCTTTCTCGCCGACACGTGCCTGATATTGACCACCTTTCTTGAAGGGGGGGTAGTGTAAGGAATTTTGCTAATTCCTTACTGAGGCACCGCTTACGCGTACATTTCCAATTTTTGGAGTTCAGGCTCGGTCCGACGACCTCGCCTCCCGAACGTCCTCCGCGTCGCCTTCGGGTTTTCCAAACGCAAACCTACACCCAACCTCGCACGACTTCGCGACCTCGGGCTTAGCTAGCCTATATTATGCCTAGGCCCCGATGTTTGCTCAGTAGTTGTAATCACTTCCGCGATATTGCATTCTGCGCACTCTTCTTTCATACAACTCATAACACTCCGGTGGACTTGTAATGCGGCAGCTGGCTTGCAGAAATTGCTTGAAGAAGATAACTTTAAAGCCCGAGTTCCACATGGCATTTTTCAAATTCAAGATTCTTGAACATGAACTCGCCAAAAACCAGGTTACCACCCGAAGTGCAGCTTTCCGTCCCCTCACGGAGGGAGATGCTTCACAACTCTGATGCATGATTGGCCAGCGACAAAAAAAAAGTATTCCGCGTGAAGTGTCAACGGGAGTTGGACCACTGTCACATTCAGTAAACTTGAAAACCAAGTTGTACTTATGTGCAGCCATATTGAGTCTAGGACACGTAGGGCGCTCCGCTGTTCAGGACCACAAGAGCGCGTAGTATCGCTTTTAGACAATGGCAGCGAGATGTCTATATCCTTGCAGCAGTCTGTTGGTTTGTACCTCCAACAAAAATAATATCAGCCAGCCTAAAGAAAAACGTCATGCGTCACGCCCCAATTCTACAGGGACGATGGCGCTCGCAAGTACGTTCGAAGCGCACGGATCAAGTGCGCGGATCGGGCGCTAGCCTCACATGTACGTTCGATGCACCCGCTTCCGCCCGTCGCACTCCCTTCCGCACGCCTGCACTCTCTTCCGCTCGTCGCACTCTCTTACGCCCATCAAACTCCCTCCTGCCGTCACCCTACTGCCCGTCGCTCTCCCTAGCGCACGTCGCACTCACTTCCGCCGTCGCCCTCCCTTCCGCCCGTCACCTTCCCTTCCGCCCGTCGCACTCACTTCCGCCGTCGCCATCCCTTCCGCCCGTCGCCCTCCCTTCCGCCCGTCGCCCTCCCTTCCGCCCATCGCCCTCCCTTCCGTTGTCGCCATAGATTCCGCCCGTCGCCCGTCGCCATGCCTTCCGCCCGTCGCCCTCCCTTCCGCCGTCGCCATCCCTTCCGCCCGTCACCCTCCCTTCGTCTCGTCGCCCTCCCTTCCTCCCATTGCCCTCCCGACCACCCGCCGCCCTACCTTCCCCTCGTCGCGCTCCCTTCCGCCCGTTGCCCCCCTTTGTCTCGTCGCGCTCCCTGCTGCTCATCGCCCTCCCTCCCGCTCGTCCCCTCGCAATCCCCGTATATCTCTCCCCTCGTCGCCCTGGCATCTCCGTCACTATCGCCATCCCTCCCTTCTCCCTTCCCAACTCCCACACTTGTCACGCCCCCTTTCCAACCCGCACACACCCTTCCTTTCCCTTTCCCTGCTTCCCCCCATCCCCCTCCCTGCTTGCCCCCATCCCCTTCCCTGCTCCCCCATGTCCCCTTCCCTGCTTTCCCCCATCCCCCTCCCTGCTTCCCCCCATCCCCTTCCGTGCTTTTCCCCCTCCCGTTTCCATCGCTTTCCCCCTCCCATCGCCCTCGCTCTCCCCCTCCAGTCGACCTCGCTTTCCCCCTCCCGTCGACCTTGCTTTCCCCCTGCTCACTCTCTTTCCCTCTGCTCACTCTTTCCCCCTTCCTCATTCTCCCCCCCCTTCCTCACTCTGTTTCCCCCTGCTCACTCTCTCCTCCTCACTCAATTCCCCCCTGCTCTATTCCCCCTGCTCTGTTCCACCCTGCTCACTCTCTCCTCCTCACTCGTATCCCCCCTGCTCTGTTCCGCCCTGCTCTATTCCCCCCCGCTCTATTCCCCCCTGCTCTATTCCCCCCTGCTCTATTCCCCCCTGCTCTATTCCCCCCTGCTATAATCCCCCCTGCTCTATTCCCCCCTGCTCTATCCCCCCCTGCTCTATCCCCCCCTGCTCTATTCCCCCCTGCTCTATTCCCCCCCTGCTATAATCCCCCCTGCTCTATTCCCCCCTGCTCTATCCCCCCCTGCTATCCCCCCCTGCTCTATCTCCCCCTGCTCTATCCCCCCCTGCTCTATCCCCCCCTGCTCTATTCCCCCCTGCTCTATTTCCCCCCTGCTATAATCCCCCCTGCTCTATTCCCCCCTGCTCTATCCCCCCCTGCTCTATCCCCCCCTGCTCTATCCCCCCCTGCTCTATCCCCCCCTGCTCTATCCCCCCCTGCTCTATCCCCCCTTGCGCTCTCTCTTCTCACCTCCTCACTCCGTTTCCCCCTTGCTCACTCGGGTTTCCCCTTGCTCATTCTCTTCCCCGCTGCTCATTCTGTTTCCCCTTGCTCATGCTGTTTCCCCTTGCTCATTCTGTTCCCCCTTGCTCATTCCGTTCCCCCTTGCTCATTCTGTTCCCCCTTGCTCATTCTGTTCCCCCTTGCTCATTCTGTTTCCCCTTGCTCATTCTGTTTCCCCTTGCTCATTCTGTTCCCCCTTGCTCATTCTGTTCCCCCTTGCTCATTCTGTTCCCCCTTGCTCATTCTGTTCCCCCTTGCTCATTCTGTTCCCCCCCTGTTCACTCCCTTCCCCCATGCCCACCCTCTTTCCCCCTGCTCACTCCCTTTCCCCCCTTCTCACTCTCTTCCCCCCTCCTCACTCTCTTTCCCCCTTGCTCAATGTCTCCCCTGCACTCTGTTTTTTCCTGCCCATTCTGTACAGGTCCCCAGCACCAGGTGTAGGGAGGGACCAACAAGTCCTGCTTTTTTGCTGCTGTGTATGCAGACAAGAGTGGGAAAAGGCATAATAACTTGGTCCTTTTTTACTAGATTGTTGCACTTCGTAGGTGGTCAATGGTCACTCTACTCTATGGATCAAAATTTAGTTATAATAATAAACATACTGTTGGGCTGAAAAGCCCCTTAGGATCTTTGGTAGGGTAAATCTCTGGGTAGAGTGATGTAGTAGCGGAAGCGTTTAAAGAGAAGATTCTGAACCACCTTGCACTGGTTTGTGAGAGCAAAGTAAGTTGATTAAGACAAACAAGTACAAAGGTTTATATAAGAGTACAAGGAATACGAAGAGATATGAATGACAACTGTTTTACTATTGGCTGTTGTGGTTCGATACCGTCATCGCCCGGATATAAGACAGTGTCGAATTGAAGACATGGGGTGTCGTTAATGTTGGGCTGAGGTGCCCTAGGATCTTTGTAGAGTTAAAGTCTGAGTACCGTATAGTTCCGGCTAGAAGACCCGGGGGACTCTCTACAAATGCTTAAAAATACCGTATTCCCCCGGACATACCACCCTAGGGTGCTATGATAACTACACAAAAAAATGGGGGGGGGTCTTGTCATCGGAAAAAGCTACATTGCACCCGGGTCTTTTTATACGGTATTTTTAGTGTAAGGATTTTGATGCAAAGACAACTTGGGTGTTTTCAAAGTTGGATTACCATCACAGCTAGAAGCGAGAATGTGGGTTTTGGCGAGATCCTTTTCACCCCCCTTGAAATTGCCAAGTGACACCTTTTTGGCCACTTGGTAGTGAACAATCTTCCAGCGTGGCAGTAGCGTAAAAGAGGGAGGGGGGTGATTTCGGTAGATTACATCGAAACTACCATGAAATTTCATCGCGGAAGTTATTTCCGCGATGTTCTGCAGTACTCGCTAACAGCTATAATTAGAAATTTTGTATGAAAGGAGGGTGCTATAGAAAATTCACCCCAAAAGGGGGGTATAGTAGAAACGAGGTCCGCTATAGCACCCCCCCCGCACAAGCCACCCGGGGGGTGCTCTATTTCGGCGGGTGGTATGTCCGGGGGAATACGGTATGCTTGGGTGGACATTATGGCGGTTGCAAATTTTTAAGACCCGGGGTACACTTATTTATCATATATCAATTTGTTATTTAGGGTGTACAGCTCAATTTGGGGCAGGGGGGGGGTCTTATATTCGTAACGAAAAACCGCCTTCGCGTGCAAATTTCGCGCGAGCGGCGCGTCAGATTTCTATCAGAATTCGAGTCTGACACAATCAAAGTGTCAGAATTCGAGTCTGACACAAAATGCATGTCAGAATTCGAAATTTTGCCAGTAAAAACTGACTCACAATTGCAATAACAACTACTTTATACATAAAAGGGGGGTCTTATGATGATTAGAGGCCAAGGGGGGGTCCTCACAATATCTGCCACAATAAGAGTCCCCCTACCCGTTCAAGAGTCCCGGGGGACCTTCTTACCGGCGGGTCTTCTAGCCGGAACTATACGGTAGGATGATGTAATAGCGGAAGCGTTGAATGAAAAGTCTTTGAACCACCTTGCGCTAGTATGTAAGGGCAAAGTAAGTTGATGAAAAACAAGCAAATACAAGGCTTTATATAAGAGTACAAGGAATACCGTCATACCCCGGATAAACCCCCATGCGGGGCACTAATAAAACATGTTTTTTTTAGGGGGTGGGCTTATAATATATTAAAATTATAAGCGCCGGCGTTTATGTCATGTCAAAAATGAAATTTATTTTTAAATATACCAAATCGAAGCATTCTCAAAGGCGAATTCACCTGAGTCGAGAACGTTCGAAATTGTGCATGCTTTGCGCGTGAAACGGCCAACAAGGCGTGGCATGACGCCTTCCACGCCTTGTTGGTCAGGCCAGGTTCATCGAACGTGAACCTGGCCCATGCCAGCGCACACGTACTTCGCATCACAGCGGCCCAATCATGGTTGCATGCTATCGTGGGCACGTCGTGGTTCAGCCACGACGTGCCCATCAACATCAAGATTCCCTGCCACTGAGGCAAAGAGCTTCCCAGCTCAGCTCCTCTGCGGGGAATCTTGACTGTGGCTGGACTTTCCCCGCAGAGGAAGCAGGGCCGCAAAACTGAAGGGGTCTCGGGCGAGGGCTTCATACAACCCTCATTCTCAGCTTTTGATTCAGTTTTCTTTGTTCGCTTGGCCTGCCGTGGCCATGGCGGACCTTCCAGGCACGCATTTCTTGTTCCGCCGCCGACCTGCTGCTAGAGAAAGTACCTGCAGAGACACCCGTGACTACTCTCAATGGCAGTCGCGCCCTGCGCCCGTCCCTCCATCACAACCAGTAGTGCCTCCCGTTCCTCCCACTCCTCCTACGCCTCCTACCCCTCCCGCTCCCCCGGCGCCTCCTATTCCTCCCGTTCCTCCGGCCCCTCCTGTCCCGCCTGCTGTTTGTGTTCCGGGACAGGGGGTTCTGCAGCTTCTCCTCCCGCCTGGCTACTCGGCGTTCGACGCCTTCCTGTCCGAGCCTGAACGCAGCGGCGGCGAAGGATCTTCCTCCGCACCGGAGCAACGGTGGGGAGCGCCGGCTGCTTGCCCGTTGGACGAATCCGCAACCGGTGCAGACGACGACGTGGATTTCTGGGCTGCTGACGGTCTCCCCGAGCACCTTCCAATTCCCTCCTTCCCCCCTCCGAATAAAAAAAGGCCCCACCCATCTCGCAATAATCGTGATGCCCGTCCTCCCTCCCCCAGGCACAAGCCAACAAAGCACAGGCGCAATTCCTACACCTCGTATGAGAAGCTGCAATGGATTCTGAAGCTCGAAAATGGAGAGATGAGTGTGCGGCGCATGTCTCGCGAATCCGACATCTCCCGAAGGTGTCTCACGGAGTGGAAGAGCCGGAAGGCTGAGCTTGAGGGCGCGCACGGTGCACGCTGTCGCCTGCACGGCCGCGGAAGGAGCTCGTGGTATCGCGACATGGAAGCGGAGGTGTACCGGAGGTTTCTCGCCCACCGCAAGAAGTGCCTCGCCGTCTCGATCGCACGACTGCAGAAGTGGTCGCACGAGGTGATGAAAGAGTTACACCCAGGTGAAAAGTGGGCCGGCTCTCAGCGGTGGACTCAGCGCTTTCGCCGCCGCTGGAACCTGACGACCAGAGCGAAGACCCGGGTCGGCCAGAAGCTCTCGTCCAGTGAGTTGTTATTTGGTGGTATTGTTGTTTGTCTGTTCCCATCTATTCACGGCCCTCACTCTGTGTTTGTGCTTTCTGTTCCTCCCATCCCGTGTCCCAGACTGCGAGACTGATGTCAAGAACTTCTGGACGTATGTGCGTCACTCCCGCCGCCAGTACAAGATTGACCTGCCGTGGATCATAAACGCGGACCAGACGCCCCTCTGGCTTGAGATGCCATCCGAACGCACCGTTGAAGAGGTTGGCTCGCGCTCCGTGCCCGTCCGCAGCGGCGGCTACCAGAAAGAGCGGGTTACCGTGATGCTCGCCTGCACCGCCAGCGGGGAGAAGTTGAAGCCGTGGGTCTTCTTCAAAAGGAAGACCGTCCCCAAAGGAGATTTTCCTTCAGGTATGATGAAATCGTCGATTACGCGGTTGCATGTTCATGTCAGGTGATAAACGTACGGTAACTAGTAACATCGTGGTTTTTATGTTGTGCAGATATCCACGTGGGGGTCCATCCCAACGGTTGGATGGACGCGGACGGGGTCATCGAGTGGCTGGACGGGGCGGTGAAGCCGTACATCAACCCCAAGTTCGGAGTCCGTCCCCGCAAGGCTCTGCTCGTCCTCGATTCGTACCGCGGGCACCTGACCCCGGAGGTGAAGAAGAAGTTTGGCGAGCTAAACCTGGTTCCTGCGGTTATCCCTGCTGGCTGCACCTCGGAGATTCAACCCCTCGATGTCGCGGTTAACCGCTCCTTCAAGGCCGCCGTTTGCCAGCTCTACCAGGAGTGGTTTGAGCGTGAGGGCGTCGACACCTTGACGAAGAAAGGTGAGAGGTGCAGCACTGATCCCACTTTTATTTCTTTAACCCGTGCTGACCCGGTTGCTTGTTTTGCGTGGCAGGCAACATCAAGAAGCCTCCTGTTGAGCTGACGCTCAAGTGGATCTCGGCGGCCTGGAAGTCCGTGCCCAAGGAGCTCATTCAATGAGCGTTCCTCACCTGCGGCATCAGCAACGCCCTGGATGGGTCCCAGGACAAGCTCTGCCTGCAACACAGGCGAGACGAGCTCGAGGGCGAGGAGGTTGACGTGGATGATGAAGTTGCAGCAGACGGTTTCTACTGCAACAACGTAGAGGAACCTGAGTCGGACTCTGAGGCCGACCCAGATGACCCCACTGTAGCTGATGATTAGAGTAGGGTAGAATTCTAGAAAATGGTGAAGCCTGTGTGATGTTTGTAGGTAGAATTAGATTAACTAGAAGTAGATAAACTAGTTGTAGATTACCTAACATGATATGCTAGTGGATAAAATGTATAAAATGTCTTCAAATTAAAAAACCAACAAAAAACCAGGGTGGCGGTTATAATGTGTTCGGTATAGGTATGCGGTTATAATCTGTAAGCCTTTTAGGTATGCGCTTATAATCGAGCACCGGATATAAGCGCCACACGCCAATTAAAAGCGCCAGGCGCTTATCCGCGGGTGGCGCTTATATCCGGGATATGACGGTACGAATAGATATAATTAAACTGTTTTGCTGTTGCGATTCGATACAGTGCGACTCGTGCAACTGCTAAATGTCGAGTCAGTTGTGTGTCCTTGGTGTCGCGCTGTATTTGTCAAGTCAAAGGTCGCTGACCTTTGACCTTCGCGTAACCTCCAGCGGTTACCCTAACCTCCGAGGGTTGACTCGCGATGCTTCGATTTGAGCTGCTTCGCTTGTGTCCTTAGTTTCGACACGACAGAGGCGTTTAAGACTTATTGTTCCCAACACTCCCCTTCGCTTCTGGAGTGTCGCTGAT